ATATATATATATATATAATATATATATATATATATATATATATATATATATATATATATATATATATATATAAAGAGAGAGAGAGCAAGAGAGAGAGAGAGAGAGAGAGAGAGAGAGAGAGAGAGAGAGAGAGAGAGAAAGAAAGAAAGAGAGAGTAAAACAGGGCAAAATGAAATAGCAGGTAGAATGAAATAGTTATGACAATGTTTATTTAAATCTCCAGTGACCAATAAATCTCCTATCTAACTATAAACCTTTTGTATCTAACTTTAAACTTTTTGTATTGAAAAATTTTTCAATGTAATTTTTCTGAATTTAAATGAATGATATTTACTGACTGACTTTTATTAAAAGATTCTAATGAATAAATGAAATACGCTAGTTACTATCTTGTTAAATGCAGTTTTTATTAACTAATTAAGCCTAAAGTGACCAAGCTATCTCTTTGAATTTTGTGCATAAATTTTAAATGGATATTTTAATATAAAAACATGCCTTGAAACAACATGCATGAAAAGAAAAAAGAAAAACGATACACTGAAGAGTAAGTTGTGCTTGCAGTGGTTAGAGTACAAAGCAGTGAATTTTCAATTAACAAATCTGCTAAATCACTCAGCATACCAGTAGCAACTCTTCACAGGCGTGTCCACAGCAATGGTGAAACAATTGGTAGTAGTTCAAGCACAGGATTGTCAAAACAATTTAAATCAGTTTTGGTAGATACGCTCATCAAATTATCCGATTGGGGCTTTGGTAAAACTTACAATAACATCATCACAGTAGTTACCAACTATTTTCAACACTAAGGTCAATCTCATTTGTTTTCTAATGGTACCAGGAAGAGATTGATATAAGATTTTCATAAACCGGTAGAGTCATAGGTCAAGCATCAGAGCTATAGGTAATATTTATACTCAAAGCCACTTCTTGCACACAAGAAATAGTAGCAAAGTATATCAACACACAACAAAGAGAATTCAACATAGCAGGTATCAACAAAAATACTCCATGTCATTTGTGAAATTTTAAGCAAAATATAGTTTGCCGGTGTGGTGCAAAACAACTATTGAAATTGGTTGGCAACAATGAAAAAATCTATTATACAGTTGGAAATTGCATTAATGCTACTAATAATTGCCTGCTCCATACATTAACTTAAAATTTAAAAAATGTCTGTATAGAGATTAGTGTTTAAGTGGTCCAGATGATGCCATATATGCTATATCTCCATCCAGATGGATGGAAGATAATTCGTGCAATTTTGAGCAATTTGTGCAGTAACGTGTATGTTCCCACCATTTAGAAAATTCCAGATAATTAGTTCAATCTAATTTTATTTATCTAGTTATATTAATCTATTTTTAAATTCACAAAAGATTACATCAATCTAATTGTAGTTATCTAATTTTAGGTATTCATATTTTAGCTGCAGATGAACATGTGGCACATATCACTTATTAGGTTGTACTTATTTGCATCAATATCTTATTGCAAACAATATCTTGTTGATTTGCTAATTAACTCACTCGCCACATATTCTGCAGCCACTAGATGTCAGAGTTTATTGCCATGTCAAAAGAGTTTGGTGCAAATTACTTCAGCAGTTTTATGCAGAGACAAAGTTCAGCAACTTATCAAAAGAATGTTTTAGTCACTTGCAAAAAAAACTTTTCAGCTCTGGTGAAATTTTTACATGTAGCCAAATAGTCACTGGGTTTCAGAATACTGGCTTGATTCTTTTAGACATCAATAAAATCAATCAGACAAAATTGCAAACTGCTAATACGTTTGAAACACTGTCATCTGAACCTGAGCTTTCATTATCTCAACAACCAGAATCTGTGATAGTACTATCACCAATACTACCACTAGGAACTACACTACCTCAGCTACTACCCTCTGAATCTACACCAACATCTAACATTAGCATATGTCACATAGCATCAGCTTTTAAGTCACCTTAAAAGTCACTCTGTCTGCAAACAACCTTCAATATTGTAGTAATTCCAGCTATTCAATAGGAAATTTAAAAAGAGATTGAAAATCAGTCCAACCACATAGATTCGTGAGGATGAGGTAGTGTAGTTCCTGGTGCTAGTATTAGTGATGGTATCACAGATTCTGGTTGTTGAGATGATGAAAGCTTAGGTTCAGATGACAGTGTTTCAAACATATTAGCAATTTCCAATTTTGATTGATTGATTTTATTGATGTCTAAAGGAAACAAGCCAGTATTCTAAAACCCAGTGACTGTTTGGCTACATATAAAAACTTCACCAGAGCTAAAAATTTTTTTTGCAGGAGACTAAAACATTCTTTCGATAAATTGCTGAACTTTGTCTCTGCATAAAACTGTTGAATTAATTTGCACCAAACTCTTTTGACATGGTAAACTCTGACATCTAGTGGCTGCAGAATATGGGGCGAGTGAGTTAATCAGTCCAACCACTTGTAGCAGCTTTGCAACAAATGTTTCGTATCCAACAGGTTGACAAAAAAAAAAATGTAGATGTGCCAAGATTCAAAGGGGAGTGTCTCAACAAACCTGAAATACTTAAAAGGTTGAAAGTAGTTCAAGATGCTGAGAGCAAAAAAGCAGCAAAGCAAGCTAAAAAACAACGCAAGGTTAACTTTAAAGTCTAACAAAATTATTATCTGTAAACCAACTCAAGTGTAAAAAGTGCTGAAAAGTTTTAGGCGAAGCTTCAGCAAATTAAAATATGGAATGGTACCAGTGTGAAAATTCAAATTGCAAGGTTCGGCTTGGTATCGGTTTGAAATGCATGTTTGACATGCATACCAAGGTTTGGTATGCATGTCAAACATGCATACCAAAGCGATACGTAAAAAGCACCAAAGCGATACGTAAAAAGCACTGAATTGAAAACTCAACTCAATCTCTTGTACCTCTAAACGACTCAACATCATCACAAAAACAAAAAAGTTTATTATATTTGATTAATTTTTTAATTGTTATTATTGATTGTTTTTTTAATTATTATCGTTTGCTTTTTGTTTTTTAAATAAAGTGTTGTTTTAATTACACATAAATATATGCCTATTTCATTCTACCTGAAGTATAAATATATGCCTATTTCATTCTACCTGAAAGTCAGTGTAGAATGGAATAATTTTTTTTTTTCTCAAATAAAGTTTCATAAAAAACTTTAAAAAAAATTATTTGATTTTTATATATTTAAATACAGCTCTATATTCTTTACAACTTTAGAAAAAAAAATTCTTTTTTCCGTAAAAAATAAATAACTAAAAATCTTTAGTTATTACATTTGACCCCATTTTACTCTATATCGGGGCTATCCTAGGAAAAGAATTTGGGTGGCAGTACCCCCAACCCCCTGATGGTGAATTTGCCAAAAATATTGCCAAATGTATTTATTTGTAAAGAATATTTGTCGTAAAAGATTAAAAAAATGTATTTTTTTGCAAAGAAAACAATATTTGCAGTAAAAGATACAAAAAAAATTTGCTCCCCTGCTTAAAAGCATGACATTTAGTCATGCTTTAAAAGCATGACATTTAGAAATGCTTTAAAAGCATGACATTTAGAAATGCTTTAAAAGCATGACATTTAGTAATGAAAATCATTTTTATTAATAATGTAATGAATTCTTGGCAAAGAAAATAATTTTAATTGTTAATAATCCTGTGTTTTTGATGTTTGCAATATATGATGTATTTAACCAATTGAAAAATGGCTTAAAAAGTTTTCGCTTGAAACAAGAATGCAAATAATAACTTTGTATAATTTAGGTATATTAAACAACTAAAGTTGCTAAAAAAACCAATGTGTCAATGTACAATGTATCAGAGAAATGCACAGTGAATAGAAATTATAAAAACACGCATTTGTAACACAGGGGTCTAGAAAATTGAAAAAATTTTCTAACCAAAAAAAAAATTTCAAAAAACGGTCATTTATGTATCAATCGAAAGCCTAAACATAGAACCATTGTTAACAGCAGGAAAAATCCCACATATTTAATCTAAATCTTAAAATTGGAATCCAACACTATAAAAAACGGCTATGGTGTAAGATTCCTACATTGCTTAATATAAACTATTTTTAAGAATCACAGACTGCGTTGCAAGAAGAAATTAGTGTCGAAAGACTAATCTGATCTGTCGAGGATTGGAGTCGTACTATTTGCAGTGATAAAAGTAATTTTCAATTATGACACTCCCTTTTGTGTACAATATATGGAAGCAGGGGGAGGCATTTGAAGATGTATTTTCCATAAAGTAGATGGGTCCATCTACATTATGGAAAATACATCTTGGCTCAATTAACTAGTTTTCATACAAAAACATTCTGGAAATGTTCTGGAACTGTTAATATCAAAACTCTACCAAAGATCTTGCAACTTTCAATGCAAACAAAATGGTGCACCTTCCCACATAGCCATGTATCAAAAAATACTTATAATCCAAAAAAATATTTTTATTGCTGTGGTGAGCCCGATCTACTGATTTAAGTCCCATTGAAAATATTTTGGACCCTAAAATGTGCACTGTTAATAAACACAGGCATAACACACTTATAGAAACTATAAGTGTGTTTTGCTTAAAACACACTTAGAACTCAATTCCAAAAGAAATATGTATGAAGAAAATAGAGTTCATGTCCAGGTGTGTAAAGATGTATTTTAAAGTACTGAAAATTATTATTTTTCACATTTAAACCTGAAAAGCTTTAATGTGAAATTGTCACAGTTTTTTTTAACTTTTTCTTATTTATATAATTACCTGCTAAATTAGTAACGCCTTTTATTATTATTTTTTTTAAATTGCTCACAAAAAATATTTATTTGAATAAATTTTTACATATCCAAACTTTATTGTACTACTGTATATATATAAACATGCACCATTAACAAATCACATACTTTACATGCCTTTAACAATGTAATCATTTACTTAAACAATTTTACATGATTCATATTAAAAAAGTTTATTTGTAGAATGAAACGTAATTTACAAACCTTTGTTGGTATATTTACTCTGTGAGATATCCTCAGCTGATTTTAGTGATGCTTTGCATGAATCCATATAATCAATAGAATTGCCTGATATTTCATTTGCAGTTTCATTATTTTTGTTATGTTTATCTATGATGTCATTATTTTCCCATAATGTCAATTCCCACTGTTGGTATTCTTGGTAATATACATACAGCACTTGTTGTATGCCTACTGTGAAACTTTGTACTACATCTGAAAAATACTCTAAAAACTCTTCAAACTTAAGTTTTCCATGTTTTAATCTTTTTTCTACAAAATATTTTTCAAGATGTTTCAATGAACATGGTAACTTCAATACTTTAGTATAAGAAAACAACACATATCCAAATGAAATGGAAAATAAAGAACTTTTCAACAGATCATATAATTCCGCTTTATTGTTGATTGTTTCAAGCCAGTTGACTAAAGATAGATCTTCAAATTGAATAAAAAAATTATTTGAATCCAATAAAATATTTCTTGGTAATAACCTTAAACGAAGTTGATTTGAGCCTATTTTTCTTTCTACAACTGTCATCCACTTGTCTTGTTTGTAAATTAAGGCATACACAACAAATCGATCAAACTCATTGGCAAAGACCATTCCTGCAAAATTCAACTTGAATTGTTCAAAGTTTTCTACAAGTGGTTTAGATGAACTTGCCCATGTTTCAATCAGTTCAGAAATTTCTTCAGGATAAGCCCACATGGAGTATAATGCACTAATTTGATTTTTGTTTAGCTCTACTGCACTATCCAACAACTGAAAATCTATTATGCCAACTGGGGGGCATGTTGAAAATGATTCATTAGAAAACTGTTTAAAATTGTCTACAGAAAGTATACTGCTATTAACTGTATCTGGCTTGGAAAAATTTCTACAATAATAATCAAACAACAAAGATTTGTCATTATCACTTAAAAATTGAGTTTCAGGATAAGTCAATTCAAAATTATTTTGTGTTAATCCTGGTTTCTCATGCAATAAACGAATCTCCCACTGCCTTAGATGATCTGGCAAAGTCCTACTTTTCTCAACATCGTTTTGGTGATTGTGTTTTAGTTTAACATTAAGATGAGAACAGCTTCCTAAAATGATTTTTCTTCCACAAAAAAAGCAATACAACAAATAAACCTCAACTGTGTTCAACTCAAACACTTGTGGAAAAGATAATTTAAAATCATCAAGTGTTGAAATATCATAACTGTTACATGTGCTCTCAATTAATATCAGCAGTTTATAAAGATTTCTTGGTATGACAGTTGGGTGAGGGAGTTGAAGTCTTTTTGTTTCTGCATCAATGAATGTATCTAGTAAATTGAAAACACAAATTGAAAAATATGTATAAAAAACCTTTAAAAAATTTAAAAAAACAAACAAATACGCATAAAAAAATGTGTAAAAAAAAAATATTTTATTAATTAAAATAAAAAATACAAAAAACTTGCAAAAACAAATACACAAAATTTTCAATACAACGGATGAGCATTTAAACACACATATAATTGATTTACAAATAAGTAAACTTTTATTAAAAAAAAAAAATTTAAATAAACTTTTATTACCTTGGTTTGGCAAATAAAAAAGAAGTTTCCATAAACTATAACAATAATAGTAGCAATAAAGTGCATATAATTGTTTGTCTGTTGCATCTGACATCTGCAATAAATACTTTGTCCTAAAATTTTCAATTGAATTTGTTTCACAGTTTGTATCAATTATTAAAATATATTCAACCATTTCAAAAGGATCAATCATTATGTCCAAAATGTCACCTGTTGATAAAATATTAAAAAATTATGTTAAAAAATGGGAAATAAATTCTAAACAAAAATCTTAAATATTTTAAAGATTAAAGTAGAATTAACAATAAAAAGTGCATGAATGTATATATATATGTGTATATATATATATATATATATATATATATATATATATATATATATCTATATATATATATATATATATATATATATATATATATATATATATATATATATATATATATATATATATATATATATACATATATATATATATATATATATGTATATATATATATATATATATATATATATATATATATTTTTTTTTTTTTTTTTTATTTTACTTCACCTCCTCAAGGCCGAGAAGGCCACTACAAACGAGGAGGCTACTTATTTTGTGGCTATAACCCTCTCTCAACTCTATAACTCCGAAACACGAACCTTGACGAACAAGGCCGCTGCGCGGAGAAACGAGTTGAGCGCGGTACTACCAGGGACGTGGTGGGGATCGAACTCGGAACCACTCGTTTATGAAGCGAGCGCTCTACCACTACACCACTACCGCATTATATATATATATATATATATATATATATATATATATATATATATATATATATATTCATACACACATTAAATTTGACATTTAAATATTTGTTCAAATTAAAGTATATGTTTTTAAATTTCACTTTTTTAAAAAGTATCAAAATTATGCTAAAAAAAAATCAAACCAAATAAAAAATATATTGAACACTTTTTCTTTATTCAAATTTTTACTTGTCATAAGAATCATAAGAATTTAAGTGAGAAAAAAAATTTAAAATAGAATAATCAAACCTTCATAAGAAAAAGTTTGTTTAAAATTTTCTTTTTTTACTTTTGAATTCCAATTATTTTTTACATTATTGTCAGCTCCGCTTATCATACGAACATCATTAGTAGTATCATCAGTTGTCAGATCATTATATAAAGGCTGAGAATCTAACCAATCATAGCAAGCATGAGAATTTGACCAATCATACCCAGAATAATAAGAATACAATAAAAGTTTTTCCTCAACACTCAAAACTTGAACATCTGGAAAAGCATGCTCAAATTCATTTAAAGTAATACTCAGAGGTTTTTCATGAGCTAAACAAGTCTCCCAGTGGCTAAGGTGTTTTGGTAAAAATCCATTTGAAAAACTATCTTCTACATCTGGCAAAATAAATCCGAGATAAGTAAGGTACGCAAAAGTAGAAGCATCATTTATTGCTAAATATATAATAGCTTTCCTTGCTTCATTAATTTCAATTTGTTCCTCTTGTTCAAGAATATAATATGGATTCTTCGTTGGCACAAAAAATACCTGTTTGTTATCATCTAACAACACTTTCCATTTCCTCGAGATGAGCAAGTATACTAAAAACTTCTGGTACATTGTTAACTGATTCAAATTTGAATAGGTTTGTAAAAACTCATTAAACGTGCATATACTCTCTTTGCAAAATGCATTCAATATAATGAACCATTTACCAATAATAACAGGATCAGATCGCATGTTTGCTACTTTTAGAAGTATTGTGTCAATTGATTCGTTTAGAGCAAGATATGAAAAGTCTTCAATATTATACTCTTCATCCTGATTTGCCAAAGTACCAAATTGATTTTCAATATCTTCCTCTGATAAAACAGATTTGTCAACAATTTTGGAATTTTTAGAGACCATTTTCACTCGATACATTTGATTACACATTTCAGCCACAACAAGCCATTCTTGTTTACAAAACAGATATAAATATACAAAATAAATTTCTTCTTCGCATAGGCAGCCTCTGAAATTTTTCTTAAATTGTTCAAAACTATTTCCATTGTTTTGTTGGTTTTTCAATTTAATAATGTAACTTGCAACACGTTTTGCATCAACTGAAACAACATTTTTGTGACTCAAAGGAATTCTATATAAAAAGTTGTCTGGATGCTCATATGTTAATTTAGATATATTAGATGAAACTTTTAACTCGTTTATCAACCAAAAATCTTTGTTACTAAATATATTGTCACCTATGTTGTTTTCAAAATTTTTTGTTTCATACTTTATTAAAAAATCTTTTTTTTCATAAATTTCTTTTAAAGATTTCATATTTTTAATATTATGATGCCTCTTTTTGAATTCATTTGTAAGTTTTGTAGCAAGTGACTTATTTACCTCAAAGTTTTGACTCAATACATCAGCTTCTATAAACTCAATCTGCCTCCAAAAATCTTCAAAAAAACTTTCTTCATTTATACAAGATTCTTTTAATTTTTCAGATAAAACAGATGATGACAAAAGTTTAAGATGGCGGATAGATGATGAAAAATGTTTGTTTTGATCTTGTTCACTGTCCTGTGTTTGAGTATCATTAGATTTTGAAAATTCTTGAAATTTTAATGATTCATGAGATATAGCTCTTGTTAAAAAAAGATCTGCACATAATCGTTTTTTAGATATGTTAACAACCTGATCAGAATCATTCAACTCTTTATTAAAAGATGAATCAAATGGTATAACAGGACTAACAGAAACTGACTCAGCATTTTGATGGTCATTGTTGGAATCCAATTCTCTATGAGCAACAACCCATTGAGCAACTTTATCACTTGGATGAAATATTTTTTTATATTCCTTTTTATCATCTAATTCTTTGTCTTCTATTCCAATTTGTGTTTGTTGGCTCAAAAACAATTTATTTTTTTGTTCATATAATTTATTATTGCTTTCAATACTATTTTCACTTAAAAAGTCTGAACTCGATTCTGATTCATCGCTTTGCTCATTGTTTGGGGAGGTGCAGTGAATTATTTGGAAACCTAAAATAGATTGGAAAGATGAAGACCTTGATTCAAGTCCTGTTTTTTCTAATAACTCTTCCTGATTTTCTTTATCTTTTTTATCATTCTTACTCACTCCAACAAGTTGATCATTTTTAATAGATTCATTAAAACTTGCTAACTTGATCTCTGGAGTCAAAGGGCTGGTATGATCATCATTATTTAAGTTTTTGTAAGAAGACTGTTCATAGTTAAGAACTGATGCATCATGCTTTTTAACTTCAAAATTAATACCATTATCAGAAGAATCATTATTTGATCTGCAAGAATCAATATCATTCGATCTGCAAGAATCAATATCATTCGATCTGCAAGAATCAATATCATTCGATCTGCAAGAATCAATATCATTATCCAATTCAAGTGAATCATCGGAATCTGTATCATCTTCTAATTTTAAAAGTGTAAAAAGTTCTTCAGCTGAAAATAAATTTTTGTTAAAAAAAAATCAAAAATTAAATTTTCAAGAATAATCAAAACAATATGAACAACAAAATGAATAACAATATGACACTTAGCAACAAATGAATAACAATATGACACTTAGCAACAAATCAATAACAACATGACACTTGGCAACAAATGAATAACAATATCAACTAGCAACAAAAAATATGACTAAAAGTTTTAAAATAATAATAATTAAAAAAAGAGTTACGAATATTTTGATTATATCCTGGTGATTCAGGAAGACGTTTTTGGACTTTGGCATTGTCTATGCTGTTAATTACATCTTGTAAAATTACAAACCCATCATCATCATTGTTATTATTATTCTATTTAAAATATAAAACAAAATATTAAAAAAAAAAACATTTTTTCTTTCTATATAATATTTATCTTTCTATATAATATTTTATGCTTTCTATTAATTTTTTTGTCAATTAAGAAAAATGTCAACAAAACAAATGAAAAAGAAATGAAAAAACTTGTATCATTATGACAAACCTGCTTTTCTAACATATCAAAGTCATCAAAAAAATAATCTGGACTTTCTTCTTCTGGAACTAAATGCACATCAACGATTTCTTCAAGTTCAATTTCTTTTACTTTAAATTTATTTTTTTCTTTAAGAAATAAAGCTTCATCAGATTTATTTAATTTTATTGAAGAATCAGTTTTCTTATTTTTATTTATTTTATTATTTCTCTTATTGAGTTCTCTATTTGGCTCAGCATCTATCTTACATTGAAATTCATTTGATTTATTTTTATTTTCTTCTTTCCCTTTCAAAAAATTACTTGAGTCATTTAAATCATTTGCAGCAAATTTTTCACCAGTTTCAAAAGGCTTCACCAAACCAATATCATTAGTAAGCATTAACTCTGAAGTTTTATATGGCTTCATCGTAGGAGATATCATCATAGAAGATTTCATCATAGGAGATTTAACTTCAGGAATTTCATTTACTTGATTTTCCTAAGATCATTTTTAAATAAAAATGAATTTTATAAAAAATATATATATTTTAATTCCATTATATCTAACTTAAACATATAAAAAGTAATACAAAAAGATGTAATTCAGGGTGTGCACTCTGCTGGAAAAAAAATGTATAGGGGTGTTTTTAAAAAATATGATGGAAAAACGGAAAAATATAATTTTGCTTTTCATTGAATCAATGATGCACAAAACATACTTTCCAGTTTCTTTAACATGTTTTTCAAAAACAGTCTTTTCTAGTTCTTTCAGTTTTTCCAGCAGAGTGGGCACTCTTTAATATAGATAATTGTGTGTAACAACTTTAAAGGTTCAAGGTCACTTAAAAAAACTTATTAAGCAATTATACAAGCTGACGCCAACAAAATATTTTAAAGTTAAACTTAAAGCAGTTGCTATAGAGAATTCATAGCAGTTGCTATAGAGGTATTCTTTATAGCAACTGCTTTAAAATTCATAAATATCTTTTCTAAGGAAAAGATTTTGAGTTTAAGTAAAATCTAGAACATAAAATAACATAAAAGAAGTTTGACAAGTCAATTGAATGTTTCTAGAAGCAGAATAATTAAAAAAACAAATACTATATTTACAGTAAACTGAAATAATAAATAATAACAAAAACATAAAAGAAATGTGACAGTTCAATTGAATGTTTTTGTTACGTTTCACATGTATCAGTGTAAAAATTACATATTACATAAAAATTACAAAAATTACATATTACATATTTTTAATAAATTAACATAATTTACATATACATTTACATATTTTTAATAAATTAACATAATTTACATGTACATATACATATCTTTAATAAATTAACATAATTTACATATACATATACATATTTTCTATAAAAATAAATTTAAAAAAATCTTACATTGAAAATATCAGGTATCTTCTCAACATTAAATTTTTCTTCAGAATCAATTCCTTCTTTAGAACCAACTTTATCTTTTGAAAAAATAATATTATATTTACTAGTTGCATATTCATCTTTGAGATTATATTTACTTGTTGCAAGTTCATCTTTATATAATGCTACTTCATCTTTTAAAGGATATATTCGATTAAGTGGCACTTTTTTTTTGTTATGAGGTTCATTATCATTAAGATTATAGAAACCACTAACTGCAGAAGTTTCTGTTTTGTATACAGAATTAGGAACTAAAACAAAAAACACTTTAAGTATAATTAAATTGATTATTAAATTCTAAAATTATTAAAGCTAATTAAATTGATTATTAAGTTTCTAGAGATTTGCTAATAAAGTTTCTAGAAATTTGAGTCAAAGGCAAACAGTGAAACTTGTTTGTAGTATATAACTGAGTTTTGTTGGAGTTTAAATCCGCAAGCCCCACAATGTTACAAAAAATTGATCAGATTAAAGATTGGCTGCTTCAGACCAATCTGCTTGCTTGAGGATAACAAAGATAGAACCTTGTTGTACTTCTAAAGCTACTGGAAATTAAAAAGTTTGAGAATGACTTTAATACTGTAAGATTGTTAGAGAGAAATGATTTAATAATCTTAAAACTTTTATATGAAGAGAGAAAAGACTGTAGGATAGCTGGAGAGGTGAGAGTGTTTTTCAGAGTTTCTAAACATTAAAACAATTTATTTACAAAATACTAAAATTTGAGATAGAATTTAGCAAACTGAGAATAATAGAGCTTAGCATCAGACAGGAAGTTTCTACATTGACTTCTTTCAATAATAAAAAGGCATTTGTTCACAAGAGTTCTTGATAAATTCATTTTTTTTTTTAAATCTTTCATTTCATTTATCTTATTTATTCACTCCTTATTTATTCACTCCTTTCATTTCATTCACTTCTTGAAAAAGACGAATAAAATGATTATAGTTTAATACAGCAACTGAAGGTGAAAAAGATGGAGTTGAATGAGGCTTGAATTAAAACTGACAAGAAAGAATAAAAGCTTCCCTACCTGTTTAGATCCAGGAGTGTAGGTAATAGACATTTATACATACATAATATGGATATATATTGGTATAAAAATACATATTTGTTAGTTATTTAGATGCTAGCACACAATATTTGTACATATTTGTATAAACTTTAGTATTTATATGATATAGTATTTGTCAAAAGAGAAGATGATCAGATGTATGTGAGGTATGTGAGGTATGACTCTAACAAAACAAGAAAAGTATCTTAGATAAAGATTAGAAAAAACAACATTAGACAGAGAAGATTAAAGTGGTTTGGGTATCAGCATGTAGTGAGATAGCAGCTTTATGAGAAAATGATAGAGAAAAATTAAAGAGACCACATTACATATGTTATGAATAAGCTTTAGGTAAGGAACTGTTAAAGAGTTTTTATAATACACACAGCATAAAAAGGAATGCTAGAAGCTGATGATGATGATGATGATGATGATGATGATGATGATGATGATGATGATGATGATGATGATGATGATGATGATGATGATGATGATGATAATGATGTGGAAATGATAATAAATATATAAATATATGGTCAAATTTTAACCCTAATCATTTACAAACTGTGAGTAGAATGATAAAACTGTGATTAATAATAGTTCTTTAAAATAGGTTATAAATTATTTTTTTTACAAAAAACTCTTAATTATTCTTAAGAATCTTCTTCTAAAACCTTATCTAAATTCTCAATTTCTTTCTGCACAATGGCTCATAAAAAAAAAAAAAAATACAAAAAAATATAAGATCGAAAATACAAAAAAAAAAAATATATATATATATATATATACATATAAAAAATACAAAAAACTAATATAAAAATATAAATATATATATTGTTAAATATTTACGTATAGAGTGATGTTATAAGTTTATGATATTTTGACCAGAAATAAAGAACAAAACTTTGGAAGCTCTTGAATCTATTAGTTCTGTCTGAAGTCTGATTGTGTAATTCCTGTAAATTGTGGGTAATCAAGAACTCTAAGACTCAATTAATCGAGAAATCAAAACTTTAACAATTTATGATTTAAAATTTTCTAAATATATTTTTTCTTTTAAACTTGAATATTTTTGAAATTAAATTCATGTTCACACATCAATAAGTTTATGTTCACTAGCATCAATAAGTTTATAACTACAAAAGCTTAGTAAGAATAGAAATGTCACTAGCATTTATTTAACTGATTTAAAATAAATAATTAATAACTCATAATAAAAATAGTATAGATAATAACAGTATACCAAAAACAAACAAAAATATTTGTTACCTTTAGTTTGATTTTCTAATTTTACTGCAGTTTTATTATCATTATTTGCATAAATCATTACAGATGGAGTATTGCATTCATTTTTAGTATCACACATAGGTTTTGTAGAATAAATACTTTGGTTGATATCTAAAAGACTACTTTGCTTACAATCTTTATCAGAAGGTTGTTGATTTGGTGTTAGTTTAACAACAGAACTAATTTCAAACTTATTTAAAGCTTCTTTGTTTGGCTTAAATTAAATTCATAGAATAATAAGAATATAAAATACATTATAAACACTAAATAATATTTAAATATATAATATATAATAATATAGTAAAACATAATAAAAATTGTTCTATAAAGTACAAAATGTCAATTAAATTATAAATTTTTATGGATGAAAAAGAAAAAATTTAAACCTGCTTATCAAAAGTATCATTTTGAAGTTGTACCTCTGACATCAACTTAACATCAACTATCTCTTCAAATTCAATCTCTTTGGTTTGAATTTTTTTAAACAAGCTATTACTGTGCAAATCAAATGAATTATTTTTTAACGTTCCTTTGTTAACCATCATTTTACTGCATTTTTCATGATCAAATTTTTTATTGGCAAGATCTAAGTCATGTTTTTCTGATACAGAAATATCAGGTGATATAAACTCAGATTGAATTGCATTCATAGAATTTTCACTAATATACTTATCTTTTATTTTCAAGCCATTGAGAGAAATCACACTTTCATTTGGTCTAGTTATAGTTATATCTGTGGGCTCAATTGGTTTTATAATTCCATCTTCATGCAAAAGAACCATTTCAGAAATTTTACCTGGTTTTATCTTTTGAGTTTCATAAGACTTATCTTTTATGGAAATTTCTGAATCTTGAAGATTTTCCTATAATTAATTGAGAACAAAGTTGTTGAAAAATAATAGTAGTATTTAGCAAAATATTTATTTATAATAAAAAAAAACTTGTTTCATCTTTAACATAAGTTGATATTTTACATATTATTTTACAATTTTGGTACAAATGTTGAGTATGGAAATTATAACACTGATTGATAGAATTCTAAGCTACAACATTTTTTCAAATTACTGTGGGATTTCCACAAGTTTAATATTTAGATCTGTTTTGTTAAAAATATATCTGTTGTTTGTTGTCATTTTATTTGCATTACCTTTTTGTTTATTAGACTTTATAAACATTTATCAAAAGAAAGATTACTATTAGTAATTTATAGATTGTAGCAAAGGAAAAAAAAAATTTGTAAATTAAAACAAGAATTTATTCAAAAGATATATTTTTTTATGGTGGCTAGAAATGCATTAAAATGGAGAAAAGTTGATAAATCAATGGGTAGAAAAAAAAGCTAAGCATAGAGACCAATTAATAAAGCGTACTGCTGTTGCTGATCCTTTTGTTTATTCCATCAAATCAAAAATTGAGACTCAAGCTTAGCAGATAGACCTGGTTCAACTACTTTTACAATGCATTTTTGGCCTAAAATAGGATGAAATCATTAGAAGAACCAGACCAAATATGACAACAGTATTCTATACAGAGACGAATAAGAGATTTGTTAAGGTAGAGAATGGACCAAGTATGACAACAGTATTCTATACAGAGACGAATAAGAGATTTGTTAAGAGAATGGAATCAAGAGTAAGAAAATGGAGAGCACAATAAAGAGAAGCAAACATAATGGTTGCTAATTTAGCCATTGATTGTAAATATGGATTCCATGAAAGGTTAATAGTAAAGAAAAATCAAGAAGACGTAGAGAAGAAGACTCAGTAAGAGGGTTGCTATTCATTAATATAAGAATGCCAACCATATTGCAAAAGATGTTTGCAGTAAATAGCTGAGTTTTGTTGGAGTTAAAATTTAGGAGCCACTGTTGGCCCAGATCTATTACAGAAGTGAGATCAGATTCAAGATCGGCTCTGCCTGTTCAAAGCCATTTAAACTTTTTATCAAGACAGGAGTTTAAAGTTGAGTCATCACCAAAAAGAGCTACTTTAGATGTAAGGTTGTCAGGTAGATCATAAATGTAGATAAGAAACAAAACCAGACCAAGGATAGAACCTTGAGGTACCACAAAAGTTACTGGAAATAAAGAAGAGTATTGGCCAAGGACAATTTTAGTAAAGCGGTTAGAAAGAAAAGATTTGATAATCTCGAAAATTTTCCTTATGGCTTATGGAAAAGAGAGCATGCCAAACTTTGTCCAAAGTTTTAGATAGGTCAAGAGTAATAGCTCTAGCCTCACTGCCTCCATCTAATACTTGATAAAATCTATCAATGCAGTTAGCAAGTCAGTCGTAGAGCAAGAAGATCGAAAACCGTATTAATTGTCTGACAGTAAGTTATTTTGCTCAATATGGAATGTGAGAAATTTGTTGATCAAAGACTCAAACACCTTGCTAATAACAGATAGAAGACTGATTGGACAAAAATTGGAGGGAATGCTCTCCCGAGTTTTTGAAAGATGGAATCAGGATGCCATTTTCCAGCAAGCAGGAAAACAAGACTCAGTCAAGCACTTGTAGAAAGAGAGTTCTGGAGAACAACTTTGTAAGACTGTGACAGGAATATTGTTAGGACCAAAAGCCATAGAAGAGTTTAATTGACATATGACTTCAGCAACGGAAGCTGGAGAGACTTAAATATCTAATAATGGTTTCACCTGTTTAATTGGAATGGAAGCAAGAGAATGGCCAGTAGACTCAAAAGGCAAATTTAAAAGAAAGCTCTTTGCAAATAGTTCTACCTTATCCTTGGGAAAGGTGATAAAATTAATCCCATGAACGAGAGATGGAATGTTAGACCCTTGTTAATGTTGAATATTTTTCAAAAATCTCTAGAACAACTGAGAAGATTTAGTGAACTGAGAATAATGGAGCTCAGCATCAGATTGCACTTTTTACATGGTTTCTTGCAACATTAAAAAGCCATTTGTTCTCAAGAAAGTTTTTCTTTTGAAAAAAATGAAAAAAATGATTGCAATGAGATATAACCGCTGCACGATGAAAACCATGAAGTAGAATTAGGCTTGACTTAAAACTGACAAGAAGGAATAAAAGCTTCTGTTCCTGCCTGAATGCAAGAGGTTATGTAGGAGGCGCATTTATTAGCTTAGAGTGAAAAGACATCAGCCCAAGGAACATCAATAAAGAAAAAAACAAAAAGAATCCCAGTCAGCATTGGGGTAGTAGTAAGTAATACAATGATAGGGTGAGTCCAAAAAACAAGACAAGATGAAAGATTAATAGAGATAATTGCATAGTTAGAGCCACCTAAAAGAGAAAAGTGAGAAACACAAGCTAGGATCAGAGACACAACATAAATCAAGAGTGAAAGTAAATCATTAGGGTTGCCATGACAAATGGGTCACAAAGTTAACTATCTGAGTAAAAGATTGAGAAATGCTGAAGTTATAGGTTTTTGTGCAAGCAGGGTAAGTGACATTAGAGCCAAACCATTCAGTGTGATGAGCATTAAAGTCACCAATAACAATAATATTGGCAGAGGGATAAAGAGAAAGGGCATGGTCAATTTGATAAGAAATTACATCTAAAAAAATTTTGCTTCCTATAAAACATTTACATATAATTAAAGTTCTTCAAATTCAGAAAAAGTTGAAAAATTTCAGGAAAAAGAAAAAGAAAAATAGGAATGAAAAGAAATTCAGTGTTTATATCTTTAAAGTTTAAAAAGTATAGAAATAAAAGTAAATTCAAAAAAAAATTGAAGCGGAGAATCTTTTTTTTTTTTTTAATCTTTAATTTCAACAAGGCTGCAACAAATTTAGAAATATTCATTTTTTTTAGAGAGAACATTGTAAAAAAAGTTTGGTATTGAGTATGTAAGAAGTAGTAGGTGACCCAATCCAATGAAACCAGCTATAACAAAATATTTAAAAATATATATATATACTATAAAACTGAATTCAAGATTGAATACAATTGGTTATATTAAAGACATGATTCAAAATTTAATTCATAAATATATTTATGATTGTATTTTATACCAGATTCCAAATCAGATTGTTGATTTAAGATTATAAAATTAGATTCAAAATTAAATTCAAGATTCAATTTGATCAGAAAATTTTACATGTTGGTGTAATTTGATCTAAAATCCAGTAAGGATATTGACATTATGAAACTGAGGTAAAGTTTAAAATACAGTTACAAAATCTACAAAAAATTATTATTACAAATAATATTTATTAAATGAGAAAAAATGTATCAAAGTCACATTTTTATTTATAAAAACTTTACTTTGATAAATTCAGAAATCTTTAGCTTTTCATCTTTTGTTTTATTTTCAGGAGAAAGAACATCTTTGGATAAATAAATCTCATCTTTCAAAAAACCAACTGCATTATTGGCAGCAAAAGTTTTATCTTTCAAATCAGCAACTTTTTTCATGTCATAAGACAGTTTAGCTAGGTCAACCTTTGATAAATAAATAATTTGTTCATTTTCATCATCATTAACTTTATGGAGGTCATTAGAAAACTTTTCTTCTGTTTTTGTTTCGATACTAACTAAAACATTCTCTGATTCAACATCTTTTAAAGAAAACTTTTCACCTAACATTTGTTTGTTTCTCTGAAATTAATTTTTGAAATATTTATAATTAAATATTTATTATATAATTTAATATTTACATTAACACCAACAAACTTACATTAAATAATTTTATTTTTTTTTTTAATTTTAATTCACCTCCCTGAAGCCATGAAGTCAAGAAGGCTACTTTAGTTGTGTTTACAAACCTCTCTCAACTATATAACTTTGAAACGCGAACCTTGACGAACTAGAACGCTGCGCAGAGAAACAAGTTGAGAACAGTACTACGAGAAACATGGTGGAACTACTCGCTTATGAGGTGAGTGCTCTACCACTATCGCATAAATACCAAAAAAGTTATTTTACATAAACACAAATGTTACATAATCAGTTTAATTCATCAAAAATAAAAAATTCAAAAAAATGCAAACCTCCTTATCTTTAAAAGTAAAAGAATTATCAGGACTTTGTTCCTCTTGCAATAACTGAACATCAACTATCTCTTTAAATTCAATCTCTTTTGCCTGAACTTTCTTCACCAAACTATTACTATGCATATCAAAAGAGATATCAGATTTATTTTTATTTGTAGAATTCTTGTTGATATCAACCATGCTTTTCTTCTGATCTTCATTTATGTTTTTGAGATTTGAGGGTTGTTTCTCTGGTACAATAGGTAAAATAAAATCAGATTGATTTCTACTTAAAGAAATATTTTTACTAAATTCTTCATCTTTTAGCTCAAATTTACTAGGTCGGCAGTTTACAGCACATTCATTTATTTCTTCTGGATTTGAATTAAACTCAGTTTTGAATCTTTTAATAGTCAAGTTTTCCATAGATTCAAAAGGTCTTAAATATCCATCTTTGTCTGAAAAGGTCAGTTCAAAAATTTTACCTGGTTTTGTCTTTGAAATTTCATCTGTTTTATCTTTTATTGGAATCTTTGAATCTGGAACTTCCTATGATCAGGTCATATTGTTCAATTTAATTGTTCAAAAATACTTAGAAAAAAAAACTATTATTTATGCTAGTATAGTTTATTAAACAACTATAAAATTATTATATAATAATCGAAATATACAAATATACAGTTAAAAAGAATAATAAAATTATAT